GTGCTGACGGCTGCATTCTGCCATAAGGGCCTCTAACTTCTCAATAGCTTTAGTGAGCTTCACTTCAGCTACCTTGATACGACAGTGCACATCCTTCAGAGACTGCCCAAAAACCAACGGCGATTCTCCGAAACCGGCCTTCCAGAACACATGTGCCAACAAGACAACACGCTCTTCAATATGCCCACACGAAAACCGATAGTAGAAAAACATTCACAGGTCTTCAACCATTGCGCAAAGACGAACCATGATAGCTGATCAAAAGGGAGATTCATAATATCACACATCGTTGTCACAAGCGTATTTAACACCGGACCAACGACAATGAATGGGAGTTCAAAGGGAGGCAACCAGCCACCTGGAATAATAGCTACCGCAAATTTTTCCATAGACTTCGTTACCATATATCTGTTGTTCTAACGAATGCCTGGATGAAAATGCAATCCATGGCCTCATACCCCAAAGGGGCTACATCATTCTCCACACAATACTTTGTGAGCAACCCACGGACCAACGCAAGCTCCGAATTATTGGACAATCTTTTAAGTGATGATTCCACTAGAGACGATGTTGTGGACCCAACAGCCTCGGTGACATCCATCATGAGGGGGACATCAGGAGCCCTTTGCTGATCGAAAGCCATCATCAAAAGCAAGAACAAAGGAGAGATCGACAAACGTATACAAAAATGACCAGGTGCTGTGAGCAGACAAGAGTAAGTGGGTAAGGCGGAAACCAATGATGCATACTGCACCTTTTATAACACAACTCATCCCATAAGCGGAAGAATTACAACTAAGTAGTGAAGAAGCAGAATAGGCACACCTAGACAAAACATCGAGCAATAACAAGAGGAAATAATCTGCAAACACACCTTACGAAAAGCAGGACACAACGGTGCATTAATTTCATATATAACACCACATTTCTTAATGCCATTTAGATACTAAACTTCCAAATGATTTATGTGACATTCATTACATTACAATGAATGAGGAAAATAATAACCATAGCCTCCAAACGGTCACCATCGACAGCCTATTCGAATACCCATTAATAACAAATGATGACAACAAACAAGTCACCCATCATCAACCAACACCATGCAATAAACACAAACACTTATACTGCCAGGAAGCAGCACCTACCAAGGTAATTAACAGTGTTGTTTGCCAATTTCCTTCCTGTCAATGGTCAGGGGAGCTAAAGCACACAAATACAGCATAGCATTGACCATCGACAGGAGGCAAATTGCCAAAAGTCAAGGGGCTAAATTGTAGAACGCAAGAAACCACCATTGCAAATGCACAACTACATAACAGGAAAATCCCTAGACCCAACGTTGCATAACTTGCGATACGAAAGAACAAAGTACTTACTAATAAGCAGGGGCTAATGTAGGTACGTACGCTCACTCAAACCATTAGAGAACACCAAGCATCAAGACTAACACCAAAAAACTGCACGTGAGCAGCTCACAACCAACCCCCACATTGCAATGAACCCGCTGCACACCAGCATCCTTGTGATGAACTCACAATACGTATCGCAATAATCATGACAAACCTGCAGTTCACTGAGTCAAGCCAGTGTCAGAACCCAAAGAAACCATATCCGAACCTTTCTGAGAGCCCCAAGCCCACTTGAACATGCAATGAAGCTACACCCACTAAGGCATGCGATGAACTCATAGCTCGCAAACTCGCTTATGACACAGGTCAAGATGAACCAAGGCCGAGCCCATGGCGAGGCCCCCGTATTCCCGGAGACACATAGAACCCATGACAACTAAGGATGCAGTGAGCCGCCACGGGGAGACATCTAGGCACCGCCGATCAAGTGGTGACATCTCCGATGCCACGCAAGATTAGTTATGATGTGCAAAAAGGGAGTAGCACACATGAGTAATGAGGGATCTTAAGGATAATGAAAGCCAATCCTCGAGAGGATCCTCATGAGACACATGGTGAAACCCCAGCAGCGCACCTAATAATTGACAGCAAATCAAATATTCCCTTTCCCAATACGTCGCCAAATGCCCTTATCTACTACCTTTTAGGATCTTGGGTTCCCCCCTATAAATAGAGGTCCTCCTCATAGTGAAAGGCATTCAATCCTTAGCATTTTGTCTCCCAGCACCCCCGAGTTCTCTCTCTCTCTCTAATTCCCTCATTTTCATATCCTTATTCCGGAGATCTCATCCCCTTACTCATAGGCTTCTCTCTGTCTTTCAAAGAGACCACTTACACCCAAGCCATACCCCTCCCACATAGGTTGTAGGGCTAGCACCTAGGCATTAGTGTCTTCGATGCCCTCTAGGAAAGAGGTGACATCGAAGCTAGCCAACTCCTTTGGGTAGGCCTGGGTGGTCTTCCACTCCCCAATGGCCCAAGTCGATGCCTCCTCGGCCCTCTTCTTAATGGCCTCGAGCTTCTCCTCCGCCAATAGAAGCTTTTCCTCAATGGCCTTCAGCTTCTCCTCTACCTCGCTCAGAGAAGCCTAAGCAACCCTCAGTTACTTCCTCTTGGCCATGACCTCGGCCTCCAAATCCTTCCGTCAGGTGCGCTCCTCACACATCGCTTGAGTGACCACCTCTTGGTCTCTTTTTGCTTCAACCACCCACAGCTCCAGTTGCTCCCTCTTCTCCTCTGAGACCCTTAGTTTCAATAGGAGGACCCCGACTTTGTCACAGAGGCTGACAACAGTAGAGGATGCCTACAAAGGAGAAACGACCATTAGTTAAAAAGGAAAGCAAGAAAAAAAAAGGAAATTTGGCTAAGTACCAGGGGAAAAGAAACTCACCTCGGTCATACGGTCCAGCAAGATGTCTTGGACACCCTGCACACTAACCTGGGTCCAAGAATGCTTGTCCCCAGCCGGGAGCATCCTAGATATCAGGGCTTGGCCAACCCCAAAGGTGTTCAAGCTATCGCCCTCTCGGACGTTCCAATGGGGGGCAAAAGATGCGTCGTGCCAATAAAGGCATCTCGTTGTAGAACTCAGATGAAGTATGGGGCCCCGACTGGCGGGAACCCCCGACAACACCCTCGACAAGACACTCCCTTGGGGGACGAGACTCCACGTTAGTGCCCTCGGCTAGACAATCCTTCGTACCTAGCCTATTACCCCTCGGAGGCTGGAGGGGCTCAACGGGCCTCTTGGCGGTAGGCTCCTTCCTCCCAGCCTCAATAGGCCCCTTTCTCTTCCTGGCTTCTATAGGAGCCTTCAGCCAAGGCTCCCTCTTGGCTGCAACATCCTTCGGTGGCCGCTTCCTCGATGACCCCTCGCCCAGGCCCCTCTTCTTGGACTTGGCCATCTCCAAGAGCATCTCCTTCATGCTGCCTTGCTTCTCTTCAAAAATACTGTGAGCATGCTAGTATATGATGTAAAAGAAGAAAGCCGATAGCTGGAGTTCCCCTACCGAGGCGGGTGGGGCTGAGACCAACCCACACCAAAGCTTCCTCTGACGCCAAGGGCTTGGCCCAGATCATCCCCGACACTCGAATTCGGGTTATCACTTCGGCCTCCTTGTCCCTGTGGTAGAGCATTATCCTCTTGGCCACGAGATCCGGTTCTCCCCCAGGTAGATCTAAATGGCCAACACTTTGGACAAGACATGAAGAAATATTTCTTCTTCCAGATGTGGATGGACGAGAAGTTATCTACCACTCTACCCTGTCGACCCTAGAAGTAGAAGAGGCCTTCCCCAACAAGGTACTTCCTCAGTACGAGCATGCATCGGAATATCTTCACGGTCACATTGACACGGTCACATTGACACCTTGGAGTCAGGTCATCACCAGCACGACAACAATGGTCCTAACGGCATTGGGGTCAAGCTGACTAAGGGAAATGTTGTAACAATTTAGGAGCTCGGAGATGAGAGGGGGCATGGGGAACCTAAGGCCAAAGTGGAGGTAGTGCTCGTGTACACACAGCTCCCCCTCCCTCGGTCGCCAGGGCCTATCACCTACGTCGGGGCCTCTAAACCTATATCCCCTCAGAATATGGTACAACTTAGCTAGAGACTTAACTTGCTTTAAGCTAAGTTCGCTATCCATGTCAGAGCGCGGATAGCGCATTAGAGTTGCGCCTTGGGCCTCGGCCTCGACTATGTTCTCAGGGCTCGACTCTTCAGCCTCATTGCCCTCCACCACTAAGGGTGACGCCTAGGCTTTGGCAGATACACTACCCCTCGGCCTCGTAGACCTAATACTCTCATTGGTAGATTCACCGCCCCTCCGGTCGCACACAGCGCCTTTAGGAGCAGTCCTCTCCCTTAGTACTTAGAACTTGGACCTTCGAGGTGAGCCCTTTGAGTCACTACCATGACTTTCAATACTACCGCTGGACGAGGTGAAACGAGACGAGCTAGCACCTGAGTAGTCTGAAAGCTCGTAGCACTTGGGACTAGAGTCTGAGTACAACAACGCTAAAGGGAGTAGTCCTTTACCTAGTAGTTAGAGTCAAAGATAGAAGCTAAGGGATTGGCTAGGAAAGTGGCCGAGGTCTCTAAAGAAGGCAAATTGTAGCGACTGCCTTAACCAGCACCTATTTAAAGAGGAATGAACGGCTCAGATAGCTTTGATCCAACGGCTACGGAGCAGCCGGCCTGACTGCCCGAACGGTTATGGATTGGTTCCTATTTAGATTTTTGACGAATCAGTGTTGTATGAAATAGAAATGTAAAATAAGGGTCCAGGAAATCATGGGACAGAAGAGTAATTTATGAGCGGTGTAAGAGAAATAGTTAAAGAATTATTTATGGTACAGAACTAATTATGGTTATTTGTAGTGTCCTTGGGTTGTTCTTTATTATATCATTAAAAATTTGGTAGTCTTAGTCTCTTTGGGTTAAAGTATTAAGGGCTAAATATTTCAAGTCTTGAACGGTTTAGTCGTCCAATCCGATCCGGGTCTAAAACACTATCAAAACTGTGGCTGAACTCTTTGTATACTGTTGCATTTCTCTTATTATTGAACAGAGATGAATAAATCATTCATGGGCGCAGGGAAGAGCGCATCTGCTGTCTGGGTACAAAACGCCTAATCCAAACATGCTTTCCATTGATTACATACTTTGCCCTCTCTCTCCCCTCCAGAATTCGTGCCATTGTCGAAGCTGATCGCAGCACCATTCTCGCGTATAGAGGTTGGACGTTCACAGCCACTTCCTGCATGTGGATGGCCTCCACACACTCACCAAACCGTCTGCAAGAACAAATTAACATCAAGAGATTAATTACTTTACTACAGAGAAAGAGAGAAAGAGAGAGAGAGAGAGAGAGAGAGAGAGAGAGAACCTGATGAAGTATCCCCTAATTTCACTTTCGCCAACTGGGTATCCGCGGGAGAATGTAATAAATATGGTTCGATCGTCATGAGAGACCTGAGCGTTGGGTTTCCATGGTTGGGCGCGGGGATTCAAGCTTGACTCTCCAGCAACCACATTTCGACCAGAACCAGACGACCCACTTGCCCTTGCCTGCTGCGCGATATCCTCAAAAGCTCTTGCCAAGACATCGTTAACCGTCTTCGTGATGGCTTGAACTGCAGAAATCCTGCGCTCATGGACAAGCTGGAAAGAAAT